GGAGGCACCATGTTTTGGATGAAATGTTAAGCCAAGGTCAATGGGACATCGTTACAAGCAAATTGGGTGCTGAATTTCACATGCAAAAAAATGCAAACTAACTACACATTACAGTAATTTCCTGTGAAGCGCTTTGAGATGAGGCGCTATATCAAGTGCAAGGATCATTAATTACTATTATTGCCAATAACTGTGAAGGTTTTCTTTCCGCCGTGCTTCTAGAGCGAGTCACAGACCGCCAGTCAGGTCAGATTCCAACCCGCTTGGTCGCGCGCTGGTCTGATTCATTAGACTGTCCCGATCGGTGCTGGTTTTCCATATTACACAATGTGTCAGAGGAACCACAGGCTGCTACGACTGGGGCCAGCTGTGCCTTCACTAGTTTATACACGAGAAGCCCTGGGCGTCAGTAATACTTCTGCTCACCATGGCTTTGAATAATTTAATCTGTATATCACACAGAGGATCTTTATAGAAAATAAGCACATTGCTGTTAGGGGAACTTGAATTTGCAAAAGTCACTCAGAACTCAAAAGGGCAGTCGAATTCCCAGCTCAAATTTTCCGAACATTTCAGTTTTGAATTCAGGAAAGTTAATGATCGAATGGAGTTTAGGGGGAGGGGGAGGTTCAAGGGACATTTACGAACCCTGGGAGGCCACATTAAAAGGGAAAGGGTAAATGGAAGTTCCCAGTCACTTCAGGGAATCAAGCAGATGTTTTGAGTGACCAAATTGTACTTTAATAGCGGCAACAGGAAATTTTACGGGTAATAAACAGCATTGATAAGCCTGCTGGGCACAATATTACTCGTCAGTTATCTCTTTTTGCCTTTAAAAAATATCTTCAGCAACTGGGCTCAGACCATTACCCATTGCATCCTGAGAGCAGATCCACAATCAATAAATCAATCATTTTTGTTTTCTCATGTGTGATAAAGCAATAGCAACAGGAAGAGCTTAGATTGGTGCTATGCTTGTGTGTCAGCCTGGCTCAGTTGGTAGCATTCACCTCTGAGTCAGAAGGATGTGGGTTCAGGCCCCACATTGAGACTTTAAAATCACTAGTCTCGGCTGACACTCCAATGTGGTGCTGGGGGTGCGCTGCATTGTTGGAAAGGTCATTAAAATTGAGGTACTAAGGGCCTGTTAAAGATCCCACAGCACTATTCAGAAACAGAACAGAGTTTCTTTCGACTGCCCTGGCCAACAACCCCCAGATAAAAATAAGTCATTCGCTTCATGGCTGTTTGTGGGTGAATACTGTATGCAAATTGGCTGCTGTGTTCCCACAAAATACACAGTCACGGCACTTTACAGCAAATTCTGTCACGCGTTTTGAGACATCTCTTGACATGAAAGGCATTATATCGAATGTAAAAATAATTATTATTTCTTTGGTATGATGGGTTCCCATTGGATTTTGTTGTATATCCAACAGGATGGGATTGCACCTCTTTCTCTGTTGCATACAAAATCCCATTCAAGGCTGATGTGATTCCTCTCTTTCTTTCAGACATAAAGCACTGGTAAGTTTCATGATGTTTCTCCAGTTAGGACCACCCTGTGTGTTATGTGTTCTGTCTCCCAGACCTGACGACATGTCTACGCCTCCAAGGCTGAACAGATGAGCCAGACAGTCTGTTCAGCCATCAACAATGCCTCGGATGAGTGTGGAGATACCTAGTTTTGCCAGTCATGAGTCCTTGGAGCCACTTAAACTCCAGACAAACTCCTCTCTCCCCGAGGTGATTTGTAGGCATGCTTTTAGCAACTTCAAATGGGTGAAGCATTGAGCTGATCAACTGGATTTCAAAGCCAGAACCATCTAATCCCAAATCAGCTCAACAGACGTACAGTCGTAGTCTATAACGATTAAATACACAGTCATTTCACTCAACAGAAAAGTCTGTGAGGTGCTTTGGGATGTTTCGACATACTAAGTCACTGTATAAATTTAAAGGATTATTATTAATAATAATAATAAGGGAAATAATCCTGCTCTGCATTGCTATCCAGTGAACTGCTGTGGAAAGTGTGCACCAGTAAACATCAGGTCAGGACAAGGTCAGAGGAGGCTGTGCTGGTCTCTTGGGTTAAATAGGCTACCGACAGTTAGAATAGGCTATTGTTCTGTCTTACACACACAGGATGGTCACTTGGGTGAAGTTAAGGAGAGCTGACTTGGAAGCGTATCATTGCAAAAGTCAGGAGAGGAGTGAAGAAAAGGATAGAAAATTGGCAAAAACTATAGCAAAATAATCTCTAAGACCAGACTGATATCCCTGTTGCATATCGCATGAACCCATATTATTAGAAAATGGGGGAAGAACGCTGTCATTTCATTGTAAGAAATAAATCTAGTTTCCCCCCCACAACACACTCCATCCCAAATGGGAGCTAAGCAATGGAAAATGTGAAAGAGCTTTACATGTGATGTCCTGCCAACTTGGCTCTGGCATCACCTCAGCCACTTGCACTGAATATTTCAGCTCCCGTCTGGGCACAAGCTGCATCAGCTGCTTCTGTTAGCCACCCAGCTACGTAGCTTATGTGCCCTGCTTTGGTATAGACAGTGCAGTGAAACTGACAGCTATCTTTAACCTCTGAACACAGAGTAAGTGAAGCAAGGGAGAAGGGGGAGGGGAGGATGAAGTTAGCACAGGGTGGAAGGTTACTATCACTTGTTCTGCATCAATTGGCTGCGAGGAACCGACCCCATAGACGACAACACTTCACAGGACTCCCAATGCAGCTCATTGCAACTGCAGGAGCTGACTTTCAAAAGCAAACCATTATATAATAAGCATACGGGCACGTTGCAAATTTGAGCACAGCCCAATGCAGTATCAGTAACGCGAATGGTGAAACTTAAGCCCTGTTTACTTTGGAGCGATATTCCATGGAGACTGGGTGCACGCAATAGTTCTGTAGTTCTAATGTTGCAAACCAAAAATCTACACCTATGTGAAACCAGAAACAAAACTCACCTATGTTACCTCAGGTCTTGCGCTGCTTTTACACTAACAGTTCAACTGTTAAGAAGCATTAGCTTTAGATTGCCTTCACAGCTAATTTGCATTGTCAGTTGCAAATGTTGATGGCATAGTGTTAGAAGCATTACCACTGGGGCTTACTATAGAAGAATTCAGTAAGAAGTTTACAGCACAGAAGGAGGCCATTCAGCCTACAGGAGCAGTGTATTATTCTGCAATTCAGGGGAAAGCTATTTGAAGGCAACAACAACAGAGACTTGCATTTATACAGTGTTCTTCATGTAGGATAATAACGTCTTGGAGATCACAAGATTGGTTCGGATGAAGAAGGCCCTTCTCACCCTTCTAGAATTCCCACTCTACTGTCCTCTCATCATAGCCCACAAATATACGGTCAATTGACTTTACAGCATATTCTGTGAAGCGTTTTGAGACGTCGCGAAGACGTGAAAAGCTCTATATCAAATGCAAGGGTATAGCATCATGCTGCTTTTTGAATGCATCCCAGTGTCCTGTCCTCAACGACCTTTCCTGCCAACCTGTTCCAGTCGTCAATTACCCTCTCTCTGTCCTGAAATTGCCCTTTGCAACCCTAATCCCTGTGTCCTCTTGTTCTACTGTCTTAGTTCATTCTAAAGCATTATCCCGGGTTTACTTTTTCAATCCCATTTAAAATGTTATACACCTCTTTAACATCCCTTCCGAGATACCTTCTCTCGAATAGGCTTCTTGTGCAGAGACGAGCAGATACTGTTTGTTCAGTTAGAAAGTTATGAATGTCAGTCTTAGAAGTAAAACTATATCACACCGTGATCTCTTCTGATCTTAATCTGAAAACCCAATTTCCAGTTCTTTATAAATTAAGAGAAAAAAAATCAAAACTCAATGAAAGGATTTTTCATAATACTGAAAATTTCAAATGTTAAGATATTAATCTAGAGGCTGAGAACATAAGAATTTTAGGCCTCAGAAGCAATGAGCTAATTGAGTGCAACAGGAGATTGATGCTCTCAAGACATCAAGGATACACTTATTTAATAATTATAATAGTCCTTGCATTTGATACAGCGCCGTTCACATCGAGAGGACATCTCAAAGCACTTCACAGGATTTTACTATAACGTGTAGTGACCTTGGATTTTTGTTCTCCGATTTTACTTTGTAATTTGGTGGGAAATCCCATTTGTAAAGACATGGCCATTTAGCACATCTCCCCAAATAAAATTCACTTCATTGGCTGTTTATGGGACATTACTGAGCGCAAATTGGCTGCCGCGTTCACGTACAAAATACACAGTCAGCACACTTCGCAATACATCCTATGAACCGCTTTGACATGTCCTCTGACGTGACTGGTGCAAATTCAAATGTAATAATAATTATTATAATCACAAAACAATATTTGTACTTTGACGTGAAAACGAGTAGAGAAATATCATTTTCTTTTCCCTGTTTATAATGGACACATCTGCACACATCTGAATTTTGTTTGTGAGAGCTTTCTTTTTTTAAAAAAATATAACACATTCGGCTCTTAAAGGGATGGAAATAAATCACTTTAAAATCATTGTACTTGCTTAGCAACAGTGAGCAGGCATCACAGGCATATGGTGAGTTCTCTGTAAGCCCCGAAGCCCTGTCTGGTTACATCTCTCTGTGGAGAGACTAGGTCAGCTTTTTGACAGGGCCATCTGCCCTTACTGTGCATAGCTGCACTGGAAGTAGGAGATAAATATAGAGGATCATTCCGATCCATGCCAGGTTCTCCCCGCTAGCCCGAGACTACGGACACCGATCCCTGCACACTGCTTAAAAAGGAATAGAAAATAAAGCCGAGGTTCTATGTTCAAGCTAGCACACACACCTTCTGTGCAATGTCTTTGAGGAAGAGCTGGAGTAAGAAAAGGAAGCCACTGAAAAACTTGTCTTGTTCAATTGTCTTCTTGCCTGAAGACCGAATGCCTATTTTACGCAACACTTACTGTAACAGAACCCTGGATTTTGAGCCAGATCTGCAATCGTAGGATTCACAGGAGAAAATTCCACCCGCGTTCTAACAGTAAGGCATTCAGCTTCTTTATTGTGTTCTATTTTGTCGACAAGTATTTTTCTGTTAAAATGGTGCGATAAATGTTCCCCCACCCAAGTTTTCATTGAAAATACTATAATTTGATGGTACATTGCTTACTGCGTGATTTGTAATGGTGTTTACTACTTAAAAGATTAGCTTTGGATGTTTCAAAATAATGTCTTTTTCAGCCAGGCGGAAATAGGGTTTAATGTACAGCACAACTGAGCACTTTCCGGAAGCTTTGCTGAGCAGTTAATTTGCACCCCCTTCACTGAAGGACTGGCTGGTGTTGGGAACTACCACCAGTACCAGAATTAAGTCATTTTGCCAAATAGCCTACTGGGCAGATTCTAACATCAGATTCTGAACTCCATTCAGTCAGGGCTCCAGTTACGTGCTTCGAGACACCACCTCGTGTGAAGGGCACTGTGTAAGTGCAAGTTGTTGTTTTGTTGTATTTATGAGAGAAGATCACACAACTTACTTTTTTTCTGGCCGTTCCGAATTGTCTATGATTTAAGTTAAATCCGAACAGTGCGTGATAAGAGGCGACGGGGCACTGTGGCTGTAGACAAGAGCGCATGTGATGCTGTGTTTGATGCACAAGCACAGGACATAGGAGGATTATAGGAGAGCTATGTGTGTGTCTCTGCGGGTTGTGAAGGTGCAGTGTTTGAGTGGGTCATTTACTGAAAGGCTTCTAGTCAATGTAAAGCTTCCACCTGAAAGAGCTAATCAAATACAGTGCCAGGTTGCAGCTCATATCGCTGCAAGTCAAAAGACGTGCTTCTAATGTTGCCTGAACACTGCGGGTGTAATTTTGAGCCCTCTGTCCTTCAGAAGGACATTGATGCATTGAGGCTTCAGAGAACATAGGAACATAGTCACAGGAGGAGAAACAATTCAGCCCATTGAGCCTATTTCTCTCTTCTATTAGCTAATGCCTGATCCTTATGTTTCCCTCACGCTTCTCCATTTCCCCTTATTACCCAACAGGAGGATTAAGATATAAGGGGAAGATCGCAGAGCTGAACCCATTATAAACAGGGAAAAGAAAATAATAATCTTTGCATTTGGTATATGTCTGCCCTAACTAATAATCCTCCAGATAATTGGGCATTCACTGCTTGGCTATTGGTGGGAAAATGCTGTGCACAAATTGGAAAGATATGGTCAAGCACCAAGTTACACTATGAAGCATATAACAGCAAAGTTATTCTTATTCGCTGAACTGAATTGAACTCTGTCTGGGACTCACAAAAAGATATCTGAATTGAGCTCTGGGGAGAGCTGATTGCTGCCTTCTCAAAGGAGAGCAATAAATAGAATTAAGATGCATTGTTTTTTAGAGGGTTTAGCTGTGTATTGTGCACAGTTGGATCTTCCTACTGTTACTACCAGTGTTTTAGAAAAATCATAATATTCCTCCCCTTTCATCCACAAGACATACAGTCAATTCACTTGACAGTATATTCTGTGAAGCTCTTTGAGACGACTCGAAGACGTGATAAGGCGCCATATCAAATGCAAGGATTGTAATTACGATTATTATCTGACATAGTGCCTTTCAGTTCAGGAGGACGTCTCAAAATGCTTCACAAGGTTCACTGTAAAGTGTATGGCTCTGTATTTTGTGGGCGAATGCAGCAGCTAATTTGCGCACACCAAGGTCCCACAAACAGCCGTGAAGTGAATGACCGATTTTATCGAGGGCACGGTTAACTAGGAGAAATTCCCTTCTCTTTTCAACCAGCGCTGTGGTATCTTTAACGTCCACCTGAACAGGCAGACAGGGCCTCGGATTAACGTCTCATCCGACGGACCAAATTGTACTGTTGGACAACAGCCAGTAAACAGTGAGCTGTTGTGTGGCAGTCGTGCGCTGAGCCTTTTCCATTGCCAGCAGTGTAGAGGCTATCACTGGGGCCTGGGGAAAGGGCGGGCTGTCAATATTCCTTCCTGTAGAACCACAGATAAGACCGAGTAGCATCTGCCCGCGGTGAATAATGAATATTTCCTGCCCTTCTTACTGCTTGAGGAAAGGAAAGGGAAATCTGCTGACATTCAGGAGTTGCCATTACCCATGTCCACTGGGGTGATATTCGCACATTAAAATTGGGTGAGTCTTGATAGGAAGCGCAAATAAAATAGAACACAAGGCAGAGGCTGAATTTTACAGCTGGAGTATCTGGCAAGAAATTACTGTTACCCAGCAGCTGAATACAAAACAACCTCACATAGAAGCCCCGCAGTTGAATACACTGTCCGCACTTCATTATGAGGATGGTTTTGTCACTTGCGAGTAATACGATTTGCGAACTTATGTGCCAGGTTGGCTCAGAAGACTGTGTTTGGTTCAAGCCCCATATCAGAACTTTGAGCTCATTATTTACGCAGATGCCCCAATACACTGCTGGGGGTGTGCTGCTTTGTTAGAGGTGCCATGTTTCGGATGAGACGTTAAAGCGTAAAGCAGCAAAGATCTGTTCTACCTATTCAAGTTGATGTTAAAGATCCCATGGCACTACAAGAAACAGAAGGGAGCTTCTCCCACTAAATATACAGGCAATTCTCTATAGAGTATATTCTGTGAAGCGCTTTGAGACATCTTGAAGACGTGATAAGATGCTATATCAAATGCAAAGATTATTATTATTATTATTATTATTATTATTATCCTAGCCAACATTCTCCCAAATAAAATTGATCATTGGCTTCTTGGCTGTTTGTGAGACAGTCTTGTGCACAGATTACCTGCTAAAAATTCAGTCAACAACAATAACAACAACTTGGATTTATATAGCGCCTTCCACGCCGGACGGCGTTTCAGAGCGCTTCAGTCATTACATTTTATAGTAAAAATCCTGCACAGAGCTTTGAGATGTTTCATCGACACGATAAGACGTAATATCAAATGCAAGGATTATTATAGACTCCGATATAAACACCTCGTGTCTCTGCAAAACAAAGCGGATCTGAGCAGGTTTGGTCATTGATGCTGGAATTTGGCTGTATCCAAGAGAAAAACAGTAGCAGAAACACAATACATAGTCAATAGTCAATACACTTCACCATGTCTACTGTGAAGCGTTTCGAGAGACCTCATGACTTGAAAGGCGCTGCATCAAAGGTAAGGATTATTATTTAGAAGACAATTAAATGAGCACACGTTTCAGGTTTAGAAAACTCAGGCAAATCTGGGCTTGTAAATGAGGATCTAAGGAAGGATCTTATTTGACTAACAACAATCAATCAGGAACTCACACAGTGCTTTTTGGGTTAAGAAGCGCAGATCAGGTGTAAGGGGTTGAGTGAAATGTTTGGCAAGAGGCAATCAGCATTATGTTTAAAACCAATCTTTCTGTTTGCGGAAGAGTGTGATTCGCTAGATGCTCTAACATGATTGGCAAACTAATGGGGGAAAATTATTTCACTTGTTGATGTACATTGATACGCATGCTGAGATTTACTAGCTGAAGTTTGTTGGGTGCTATAATTTGCTCACAGAATTCAACATTCTGACCGCATGGAATAGGATCAGGGCAAGATCCAACTGCATTCAGTGCAAGTGGTAATTTCCGTGCCTTCTGACTGTCACTTTACGGGTTTGATTTTATATCTTTCCTCGCAAACACCAGACTTCATTTGCAAAGCACTGTACCGTGTAACAGGACTACATCCAGTGAAATCTGCTTCGGAAACTGGTGCAAAACAATTCCTGAGTTCTCCAAAGGGATAGAAAGACATGTTTCCTTTGTGGAAGTAGCAGCCAAAGAAATGAGCAAAGTCTTCAAAGACTTAACCTACTTGTGCTATATAGTGCCCAGCAAGCTTGTAATACACTGTAACACATCCATGGAGCAATAAGCTTATGTAAACAGCTTAGAACTCCTCTTTAGTATTAAAATGCCCTTTTGCCAATGACAGTATTTAGGGAACAACAGGTGAGGTCCCATCTACCTGTTGAGGTGGACATTAAAGATCCTAAGCCACTATTTTAAAAGAGAAGGGAGTTTCTCCCTGATGTCCTGGCCAACAATCTCCCAGATAAAATTGGTCATTCACTTCATGGCTGTTTGCAGGACATTGCTGTGTTCAAAGTCTAAAGTGCAGCGACTGTAAAATTGTAGTCATACGGAGCAGCCAATTTGTGCACATCAAAGTCCCACAAAAAGCCAGGGTGTGATTGATTAATTTAACTGGACGATTGTTGGTCGGGGCACTGAGAGAAATTCTCTTCTCTTTTCAATAAGTGCCCTAGGATCTTTACCGTCCACCTGAACAGTCAGAAGGTTTAATGTCTCATCCGAAGGATGGCATCTCTGGCAGTGCAGAGCTTCTCCATCACTGCACTGGAGCATCAGCCTAGAGTCCTAGCCCGTGAGCTCACAGTCCAAACTTGGGGCTTGAGTCCACCACCGAGCTCTACCTACTGAAGCCAGACTGACCCTGTAGCACACAGAATCTATTAAGGGGAAGGAGAATGTTAAAGATGTACTTCTCTATCTCCCCAACGGTTCTTTTGGAAAAAAAGTACTTTGTTTAAAGCGTTTACGAGTTGTGGAACGCTAGGTTGCATCTAGCAATGTGATAAAACACACACACACACACACACACAAGGCTGAAGTGTTTAAAGCCCAGACCATGGTTGCCAGTACCTAAAGCTGGACAGATGCCTATGAATACAGCCAGCAAGGCTGCCCCTCACCATCAGCAAAACGATCTCTCAGTGAAGGGCCAATGACTATAAAATATCCAGAGAGGTGAAGCAGCCTCCGATACCGTGCTCCAGCTTCCACAGTGGCCTGAGTCTGTACAGTAATGCATCCTCGGGGGCCAATTGCCTCACTAATTTAAGTGATGTGAAGTGTCCTAAATAAATCCATCAGCTCTGCCCGGCTATTACACGGCGCAGAAAAAAACACAAGCAGCAACTGAGGCAAGCTCAGCCTCGGTGGTCGCTGGACGGATGTGGCAGGAAGGGTTTT